CCTCCCTCCCTCCCTCCCTCCCTCTCTCTCTAAAACCAATAAAAACATCCTCGGGTGAGAGAAATCGACAGGGCTAAGGGTTATAGGAAAGTAAATTTTTTGCAAGTAATGAGATCTGACAAGGTTAAGGAAGCCAGCAGATGGGAAGAGGGGATGGGGGTGATGCCACGGGGATAACAGGCACGCACAAGTGACTGCCGAAGGCAAATGATGCAGAAGCGAAGGTCAGAGAAGACAACTGGAGAAGTTTGTTACTGAACGGGACAAAAAACCAGACTAAGGGAAATTATGTTTAGGACAAGTGGGACACACAAGTGGCATCAGCAGCATGGCGGCAAAAGATGTTCCTCATCCTGTTTTTCAAACAGCGAATGAGACATCCATTCACAAGCCAAAGTGCCTTGGTGGTTGCTCTGGGATCCAGCCCCACATGCCATGGGACCCAAGGGGCGTCTCTCACCTGTGCACTTGGCAATAGGCAGACACCTCGATATGGGCTGTGGAACCAGTGGAGCAGTGAGCCTGCCTCAACCCCTCTCGCCAGTCAGGAAAAACCTGGAGAGAGTTGTCCCGGGTGGATACCCACAGAAGACAGAGAAGGTGCAGAAACCCAGCCTTCCCTGGTGGAGATTCCGGCGTGCCACTGGGGGGAAAGAGATGGATGTAGCAGACATTGTAAGAAGAACTTTCTGAGTCCCCCTTCCCCCAAGGAAAGAGTACAGGGGGCTGATCATCTATCCAAAAGGCTGAAAGTAATTCTTCAAGCTGAAATGAAAAGATGACAATCAGTGACATGAAGACATATGAAAATACACATCACACTAATAAAGGCAAATATACAGTCAGACTTAGAAAACTAATTCTGTAATAGAATGGTGTATTAGCCTCTTAACTATATTATAAAGATCAAGGAAAAGAGTATCAAAAATAATAGGTACTATAAACTGTTACTGAATACACTATATAAAAGAGGTAAATAATGACAAAAAATTTAAAAGGGGGGGTAAAAAAAGTGAAGCTTTTATAGATGATCAAAGTTAAGTTGCTAACAGCTGTAAGGGAACTTTTATCTATGAGGTGTCATATGCAAGCCTCATGGTAACCACAAAACAAACACCAAGAGTAGATGCACAAAGATAAAGCCAACTGAGAATACCACCATGGAAAATGACAAATTTATAATAGTAGGTAGAAATAGAGGGAAAAAGAAACCATGGAAATACCCAGCAAACAATAAGCATCAATAAGTTCTTAGATATCGATGATAACTCTAAAGGTAAATGAGTTCATCAATCCAAAGGTACCCAATGCCTAGATGAATTAAAAAACAAGACCCAACCACATGCTGCCAAGAGACTCACTTCAGCTTTAAAGACACTCACAGGCTCAAAGTGAAGGGATGGAGAAGATATTCCATGTATCTGGAAATCAAGAGAGAGCAGGGATAACTATACGGTTGGCTCTTGAACAGCACAGGTTTGAACTGTGTGGGTCTACTTATACAACCTGTGCAGCTCGAGCCAGTGTTGTTCGAGGGTCAACTTTATGGCTGGGAAGCCCTATATGCAGGGGGCTGACTGTAGTTATACTTGATTTTCAACCATGCAGGAGGTGAGTCCCTCTAACCCCCACATTGTTCAAGTGTCAACTGTGTATCAGACAAAATAGACTTTACGCCAAAAATGTTAAGAGACAAAGAAGGTCAATAAGTAATGATAAATGGGTCAATTAATCAAGAAGATAAAACAACTGTAAATATATATACACCCAACATCAGAGCATCTAAATATATTAAGAAAAGAGTAACAGATCTAAAGGGAAAAACAGAAAATACAACAATAGTAGGGGGATTCAATACCTCCCTTGCAGCAACTGATAGATCACCCAGGCAGAAAATCAACCAGGAAACATTGGACTTAAACCATACATTAGACCAAATGGACCTAACAGACATTTGTAGGCATGCCATCCAACAGCAGCAAAATCCATGGTCTTGCCAATGCACGGACGCTGTCCAGGATTTTTTGCTTTCTTCTGCCTTCCACCTCTACCAGGAAAAGGGAAAAACCTACCACTTTATTGCGACTCTTCAAAAGCATCCAAACTTAGAGGACGTCAGAGAAACGGTAGCATGAGAGATTCCCTTCTTTCCCCTGGAAGTTTGAACAATTTGAACAGCTATAGCTCAACAAAGGATTCCCTGCTCAACACACAAACATGCCTGAGAGATCTGTGCATTGAAGCATCTAAAAATGGGCAAGTGGGAACAAACTGGGGAGGCAAGTAGGGAGAAGGGCTCAGATGGGCCATGGATGCAGCCCTGCACCCGGGAGCACACAGCAGGGCTCAGCCCGGAGAGGGGCGGAAGCTGATTGTGACAGGCACTCCCTTCAGCCAGGAGGAGCAGAGAGATTAGGTGGATATCCCTGTAAGAGTGAGCATTATGAACTGCAGCTGAGCCCAGCACCAGTCATGTCAGACAGGGAGCAATGCCCGAGGAACAGACTCTGGGTTCCAGTAGCTCAAAACTTTAACTTTGATGCTGGGTGGATGTCCAGAGACCAGGTGACAAGGGCCATTGCTTAGAAACCAGCGGACAGAACAAAGGTCACTGCATGGAGCTAAAGACTCCTCACCTTTATCTATCTGATCCAGTGGCAGAAGACACCCTTCTCCCCCACAACCTAAACACTGTTCAGGGGAGTAGGAGGGGAGAGGCAAGCTCAAAGACCCAGGATTCTTACCTGAGAGACTGCACATGACCTAAAGGGACTGTTTCAGTAATGGGTTCAGACCAAGCTCTCCTTCAGAATAGCTCTGTTCAGTGAGTGGGTCCCAGGTAGCAGGCAAATTAGATTTGGACAAAACAAATAAATTGTATTTTCTCTGCTTAAAAAAGAATGGCAAGCCAGTCTGTTCTAGCTCATTTTAAATAGAATCATGAAGACTAGGAAATATTAAGCTATAATTCTTATAACCTTTTAGTAATTCTGGAAACTGAGTATCTGCTAATAGGAGGGTCACACAGATATGACCCTGGACTCACGTTTTTTATTTGTCTCCAGTATAAGTCTTGTGATTTGTGTTTAATTTCTTCCTGTTGTTGATCTTTAGCCCAATGAGTGGGAGCTCTACTTACAAATAAATCACTTCCAAGCATTTTAATTTGGATCTTACAAGGGTTTTCAGGAAGTTGGTCAGAGGCACAAAAAATGGTCTTAGGCACTGAACCAAGGGCCCCCCAACAGATGCCTTCCTGGAGAGGGGCTGTGACACCTCCACAACTGCCTGGAGGGGTCCGCACTCTCCTTATCCTTGGCTTCCCTGAGCCTGGACCTGAATAGTAAAACAGAAAATTAAAAAGAGTTCAAAAGACAGGATGAGGGAAGGAGTAGGGAGGTGGGAGACGTGCAGTAACCTGGCAGAAGAGGATTCCAAGATGGTAGCAGATTTAGTGGAAGCTACACTGATATTCTCCCAGAGCCGAACTGGAATTACAACTAAAATATAGAAAAACCACCTCTCACTGGTTTTGCTCAGTGGTCAGAGCATTGGCCTAAGGACCGAAGGGTCCCAGGTTCTATTCTGGCCAAGTGCACATACACTCGGCTGCAGGCTTAATCTCTGCTCTAGTCAGCGTAAGAGAGGGAAGCAACCAATGTGCTTCTCTCACATTTATACTGCTCTCTCTCTCTCTCAATCTCTCTTCCCCCTTCCACCCTCTCTGAAAAGCAATGGAAAAAATATCCTTGGGTGAGGATAAAAAAAAAAATAATAAAATATAGAAAAACCATCCTGAATAATCAACTGCAACATAAGACTAGCTGGGGGACACCCTCATGACCAAGGAGGAAAAGTGGAGACCACATAGAGGCTGGGAGGAAGTGCGGAGGCCCGAGAGTGCTGGCTGGGCTCCCACAGGCAGCAGCTGAAGGTCTGGAGAAAGGTCTCAGCTGTGGGGGGTTCCCACTGAGGACTCTGGGGTCTAAGCCCCAAGCTGGGCTTCCCAGCCAAGAGCACCAGAACTGAGAAAGGAGCCCACATAACATCTGTCTGTGAAAAGCAGCAGGGTTTCTGTCAGCCAGAGAGAGACCACAGGAAATGCAGGCACCCTCTTAAAGGGCCAATGCACAAAGGTTTGTGTGCAGCCACTCACCTTGGGCTCTGGCAGAGGGAAGGCAGAGTGGACTAGAGCTGTGTGAGGAGAATCTAGGGGTGCTGGCTGGGGGAACAGAGCTCAGAGGGCAGCCATCTGGATCCTTGTGCTGAGTCATTCCCCCATACCTCAGAGGACATCTTTCTCAGGCAGACATTAACTTTTCAAAAAGCTTTTGCCTGGGAGGGAAGCAACTGTCCCACCCTGCTGGAAAACCTCTCACCCCACCCTGTGGAGTTTCTACAGCCCAAAGCTCATTAAAAGACTGACTAATAGCCTCTGGGTGTTTTGAGTCTTTGCCTGATTTGCTTCTGGACCCAGGGCTTGGAAAAGCAGACATTGGTGTGCATCTTGCTCCTTTCCAAACACACCTAGCCCACAGAGGGAACCACAAACTGTGGAGTGAGAAACTTCAAACAGGGTACTCAAGGCCAGTCACAAACAGCATCTGACATTGGCCCACACCAGAGATCATCCAAAAGACTGGGAGTCCTAGCAGACCTACTTAATACACAGAAACAAGCCCAAATAGGCAGCCAAAATGGGGAGACAAAAAAACAAGCCCCCAATGAAAGAACAAAAGAATTGTCCAGAAAAAGAGCTAAATGAAATGGAGGTAAGCAATGTATCAGATGTAGATTTCAGAATACTGATCATGAGGATGCTCAACAGCATGAAAAAAAAAAGAAAAGGAAACTATGAAGGAAATTAAGAATGACATAGTAGAAATAATTAAAAACAAAACGAACATTGGAAGGAATAAACAGCAGATTAGTGGAAGCTGAGGATTGGAACAGCNATTAAAAACAAAATGAACATTGGAAGGAATAAACAGCAGATTAGTGGAAGCTGAGGATTGGAACAGCAAATTAAAAGACTGTAGAAAAAAAAAATCAATCAGAGGACCGAAGAGAAAAAAAAACAATTAAAAAACAGGAGGACAGATTAAGGGAGCTGTGGGACAACATGACATGTAACAATATTTGCATCATGGGAGTGCCAGAAAATTTAGAAAGTAAGCAAAGGGTAGAGAACCTGAATAATGGCAGAAAACTTCCCTAACTTGGTCAAGAAAAAAAGTCACACAAGTTCAGGAGGCACAGAGAGTCCCAAGCAAGAAGAACCCAAAGAGGCCCACACCCAGACACATCACAATTAAAATGCCAAAAATTCAAGACAAAGAGAGAGAATCTTAAAGGCAGCAAGAGAAAATCAATTCGTTACCTACAAAGGAGCTCCCATAAGGCTCTCAGCTGATTTCTCATCAGAAACACTACAGGCCAGAAGGCAATGGCATGAAGTATTCAAGGTAATGCAAAATAAGGATCTGAAACCAAGACTACGATATCCAGCAAGGCTATCATTCAAAATAGATGGTGAAATAAAGAGCTTCCCAGACAAAAAAAGGCTAAGGGAATTTTTCACCACCAAACCAGCACTGCAAGAAATGTTAAAGGGACTGTTGTAATAAGAAGTTGAAATAGAATGAGAAACATAGGCATAAAGAGAAAAAATGGCAATAGATGAATACCTCTCAATAAGAAACTTAAATATAAATGGATTAAATGTCCCAATAAAAGGAGATGGGGTAGCTGAATGGATAAGAAAACAAGATCCAAATATATGCTGTCTACAAGAGCCCCCCTCAGAACAAAAGACTCACACAAGCTGGAAACAAACAACAAACTACAAACAAACAAACTCCTGGAGGACTTTAAGGGAGAGATCGACAGCAGCAGTCATAGTAGGGGACTTTAATACCTCACTGACTTTACTGGATAGATCTTCCAGACAGAAAATCAACAAGGAAGCGGTGACTCTAAATTACACACTAGATCAGATAGATTTAATTGACATTTATAGAACATTTCACCTCAAAGCTGCAGAATATGCATTCTCAAGTGCACATGGAACATTCTTAAAGATAGACCACATGTTAGGACACAAAACAAGTCTCTCCAAGCTCAAGAAGACTGAAATCATATCAAGCATCTTCTTGGATATTTACACCATGGAATACTATGCAGCTGTAAAAAAGAAAGATCCCTTACCCTAGGAGACATCATGGTGGGACCTGGAGAGTATTATGCTAAGCGAAATAAGCCAGTCAGAGAAAGACAAGTATCACATGATCTTACTCATATGTGGAATCTAAGGAACAAAATAAACTGATAAAATAGATCCAGAGACACAGAAGCATAGGACAGACTGACGAATCTCAGAGGGAAGGCAGGGGTGGGTGGGAAGAGATTAACCTAAGAACTTATATGCATAACCCATGAGCAAAGACAATAGTGTGGTGAAGGCCTAGGGG